TGGCATGGACACTTTCATCCATTATTGGAAATACCAGGTGAAACTGCAATCCTCTCCGTGGTTCACACCAGTATGCTTGGCTGCCATAGTACATAGGAACCACTATTTCTGGCTATACCAGTGTGATAGATCTCATCATAACAGGCCTATTTGCTACTGCCTGTAAGAAATGTAAGAGAGTCCTCGAAGGAGCTAAATTCCTGTTTGCTGAGAGAATGTGGCATCGCATAGCCTCTCAAACCTTTGGCTCTTGTGATTACTGGCAGCTCTGTAATAGGGTACTGAATACTAAATAAGTGCAAGGATTCTATTCCCCAATTTTCAATTGATTTGAGGTGTATCATCCTCTGCTGATAAAGCTAAATGCTTTACCTATAAATTCTCCTCAAACTCTACTCTTGACTCATTTGGAGTATCTCTTCCAAACTCCCCACCTAAAACTGAGTCTCTCTTGAGTTATATGCATATAATCCCTTCCATGGTTTCTGCTATCATCTCTGACTTGGATGTATGTGGGCCCAATGGTATTCCTGTAATAGTCATTAAGAAGTGTGTTCCCGAACTAACCTGCCTGCTGGAAGTCATCATCTGTTGTTCCAGTTTTTAAGAACACTGGTGAACCGTCTGACCTAGCTATCAGCCTGTTAGCCTTCTACCAATTTTTGGGAAGTTCTAGAGGTCCTAATCTATACTGAATTTGTTCATCATCTCTTATCACAGGGCCTGTTCCCAGACAAGAAATATGGCTTTTGTTTTTCCAGGTCAACTGCTGATGTGCTAGCAATAACTGTAGAAAGAGTCTATCATGCTCTAGATAAAAATGGTGAAACCTGGGCTGTAGCAATGGAAATATTTAAATACTTTGACAGGGTCTGACATTCAGGTTTCCTCCACAAGTTGAAAAGTTACAGTATCTCCAGGCACATTTTTGTGCTGATCCAGTCATTCCTATCAAATTGTGAAATGAAAGTTGTCCAAAATGGCTACTCATTTATATCATTTTGTACTAATGTGGGTTTCCCCCAGGGCTTCAGCCTTAATCCTCAACTGTTTTTAATCTTCATTAATGACCTTCCAAATGACATCAGCTCACAAATTGTCATCTATGCTGATGACACTACCATTTATTTCTGCCTCGATAGTAAGGTTAATCAGACAAGATCAAAATGGCAGTTGGTATCCAAAATGACCTCAAGACCATTGTTAACTGTTACAAAAGATGGCTTGTCAATTTTAATACCTCCAAAACAAAACTAAACTGATCATCTGAGAGACCCCTCCCTGACTTCCATCAGCATGGCTGATGCTATCCTCCAGGAAAGTGACTCATTGTGCCTTCTTAGGCTAATGTTCTCAGCTGACATGAAAGACTATATTGAATCCATTGCTACATCAGCTGCTAAGAAAGTTGGTTCACTGTGTCAGGCTCCAGAATCTATCTTGCACATCTATAAGCCTACCATTTGTTCATGCTTAGAATATTGCTTAGAATATTGCTGCTATATATGATTTGGTGCCCCTGCTATTTACTTGGAGCTGCTTGATAAGATCCAAAGAAGAATCAGCAATGTTATTGGTCCTGATCTGGTGTTTCAGCTTCAGTCACTTGTCCACCACTGTAAGGTTGCCTCTCTGTGCCTTTTTTATAAATGCTTTCATGTTAATTGTTTCGGATGAGCTCTTAGCTATAGTACCTAGACTATGAATTTAAGTGCAATACTAGACTGGTGGTGAGGTCTTATCAATTTAAAGTTGAACTAGCTAGATGTAGCTGCAAATTCTGTGCTAACAGTTTCTTTTCTCACACTTCTCACTTGTGGAGCTCCCTCCCAGCTCCATGATTTCCAGCCAACTTTAATCTGCAAAAGTTTAAATATGATGTCAATTGCTATCTATTATTTATCTGATTGCTCTTTTCTCTTTCTCCTCATTACTAATGTTCCTGTTCCTAATTCCTCCACACCCTGCAACCCCCTGTGTGTTAGTAGTTTTACTACTTTGCTTGGTCTGATACTGATTATAAAAAACAAATAAAAACACCTAGATCTTAAGAATTTAAGCATAATACTAGATTGGCTGCAAGGTCTCGTCATTTTACAGCTGAAATGGCAGCTATAGATGTAACATTAAGTTCTGTGATAACAATTTCTTTTCTTCTGTCTTCTTAATTCCTGCTTTTTTATTATTGTTCTCTCTCCTTAATAGTGTTTTTTTCTATATTCTCTCTCATTCAATAACACCTTGCATGTGAGTGATTTTATTGCCTTGCTTGATTTGGTTGAATTGTTTTTTTTTTGGCTTATCAACACATTTGCAGGTTATTTAAAGCTAGAAATATTTTCAATTGTAAGAGTTTTTTTAGGGGTAATAATGGTTTAGTGATAAAAGTCCTACTAATTAATTCATAGCTGGGGAGAGAAAAGGTGGATTTATATTTTATTCAAGGGTATTTGCGCATGAGTGAATGAAACAAACCCAACAAGAATTGAAACTCAGCTCTCTGATTAATAATTCTGAGCCATTATCCATTACACCACCCACACATCCAAGCAGTCACCTATCTAGGTACTGACCAAGCTCAACATTACTTAACTTTGGTGACCTTATGAAAAGCAATTTTTCAACATGATGTGGCCATAAGCCTTGCTTGGGGTGAAATTATATGTGTGTGTGTGTGTGTGTGTAGATAAATAGATAGATATCATATAAGATGGTACTGAGAAGTTAGCCTGATCAAGGAGGTGTTTTTCCCCAAATTCTGATGTTAGCTTATTTTGTCAGATTTTGAAAAGTTGGTCAGGTTAAGAATTTTCACCATTCCTCCATATGTACACTATGCTGGATTCTATTATTCTTGTTTATTTTTTTTTCACTAGAAAACTGGTATTAATCAAACAATGTTTGTAAAAATTTCAGGATATATTTATATGTAGAGTATCCTGTGTAAGTTTCAGATTATAATATCTATCTTTATGGATCATATTTTGTTTAGGGAGTGTCATGCTTTATTATGCAAAAAAAAAAAAATAAGTGCAATATAAATTTTTATTTATAAATAAATCTAAAAGATGTCAGCTATAGAAACATAATTGATCAATACAATATCCCATATACCTGAATAAATTATTATTTTATAGTCTTGCATATTAATATGTCCTCCTTGATATCCTACAGTCTTCATGCATTGATTTTGTTAACTTTTCTATTATTACTTGCAGCGATTACATAATGCAATCACACAAATATCAGTTGGTTAATACCAATTTCATTGTGAAAACATTCATTTGAATAATGAAATCTGATACTGTGTGTGCATATATCATAAAAAATATTGAATCAATATCATTATATTGATTCAGTATTTTTTTATTATTATTAGATCATTAGTAAATATTTATGCAGATGATACAAAAGTGTATGGCTGCACCTCCAAAAATCTAGAGGAACAGGGCATAGCAGCTGAATTCTCCTCTGACCTAGCTCTAACAGCTTAATGGAATAAAAACTAGCTTGTAACATTAAATACCAAGCTATCAATATTTTCTTTTCACTAAGCAGCCCCTCAATTTTTGCCTATCAGGATGAACAGTTGTATCTCAAAGAGGTACACTGTTTTGAACATCTATTGGGGCTCAAGTTCACACCAGATCTCCTCAAGTGTAACTCATACATATACAATTCATCACTAAGTATGCTGAAAAAGTAGTTTGTTCCCTCTACATTTCCACTAAGTATCTGACTCCTGCTATGCTCTATCTAACTTTAGAAGAGACAGAACGAGTAGAGAACTGTTGTCATATCTGGACAGAATCTGCCCAGTCCTCACTTTCCAGACTTGATAAAGTTAAAAAAAATGTTTACACTAGCTTGAGGATGATGACTTATTTTCAGTTCTACAACCCCTTTCCCACAGATGAAACATTTGAAGCCTCTCACTACTCTATCACTATTTTTATGGTAAATGTTTTGATGAGTGGCATTCATAAGTTTCACCAGTTCAAATTTTCACAATAAGGACCCACTATGCAATATACACTTGGACAAATTTCCCCATTCTCTTTGTATTTCATTAATAAAAAGGAAGTTCCATTCTGTTAGCTCTTGAAAAACTGTGGCTTTGCGGAACAGACTACCAAGTGGATGCTTCCTTGATTGCTACAATCTTAACCTCTTCAAGTCAAGGGTTAGCCGTTATCCTCATAATCTGCTTGTCTTGCCTCCTCTTATAATCAGACAACAACCTCATTCAGTAATCTTGTACCTTGAGTGGCTCTTAGGCCTTGTATTGGTTGATCAATAAGTAAAAAAAGGCTTTTATTATGAGTTTTATAATCATGAAGAAATAAAATGGACATTTTATGTAATAACCCTACTGAAAATCAAAATTAAAAACAAAAGAATTCAGAAAATAAATGAAAGCTTACTCATCCCACAATTCTCAAATAGAAAGAATGAAATTAATCCTGGAGAACATTCTTGTTTTTGTTTTCTATTAAAAATAAATAGAAAATTGTAAACTGAAAAATTGCCTGCTTTCGCAGTTAAATAAATTTATTTATTGTTGTTTATTTTCCGGGCAAATTAGCAACAGCTCATTGCTTTTAATGATATGAATAAACATTAAAATTTTAACAAAATCAACTTTGTTGTTGATAAACTCCAGATGTGTTTTTAGACACAATTTCTATCTTTCATTGCTTTATTAGATCTTGTCTGATTGGCAAGTTAATCTGTTATGAGTTTAACACTAGAAGAAAAAGACAAAAGTATGAAAGTGACATTACTTTGATAAAATGATTTGAGAAATTTTAAGCTGATCAATTAGATTTTCATTTTCAGCAGCTGTAAAAAATCACAGCTAGACAAGATGTCAGCCATTTATGAGAAAGCAAAAAAATATTTGACTCTTTTCAGTCTTACAGTCATCATGTTTAATAAAAATAATACAATTTTTAGGAATGTGGATGTTTTTATGTTGAAACAAAATAATATGTTCTTACGTAATAAAAATTCATCCAGTTTGCTCACATAATCCTCTAACATTTCACCATTTTCTTTCAGGTGGATCAGGTTTCCAATTGCTTTTGGGTGGACAAACAAGCCTGGAAAATTAAATGAAAAAGAAAATATGAATAAATTTTAGAGAAATTAATGAGAGTGAAAAAAAACAAAGAAACTTTTAAAAAGATAATTTCTACAAAAGACAGAAGATTTCATCAAAAATGAATCCCCAAGAAAATGTTTACATTATTTCATTTCCTTTATTTATTTGTTAATGAGAAAGCAGAAACAAAAAAGAAAGAACTGCTATTGGTTTTGCAGTGAGAAATTAAGAATAACATTATCTGAAAATTTGTTAATTTTAATTATTTTTAAATATAGGAGCAATATGAAATGAAATATTTGTAAAAAAGCAATCAAGAAAACTAGTTACAGGAACCATTTTTAGTAAGCAAAAACAGTGATTATTTTAAAAAGAGGAAATGATTTTATGACAATTGTAAAGTTTTAATAAAGTCCAAAACAGACATAGCATTTAGTGAAGAGAAAGTGAAAAGAAATTTAGAAAAAGATTCTAGAGTTAGTTAAGAACAAATTTTGGAAAAATAGTAAGCTTTTTGCCTTTGTGCCATTGTCAGTAGGAAAAGGAAAAGATGCTCTTTGATTTTTTTTCTCTTTTGTCACTAAATGCGATTTTCTTAAGGTTGTATACATATAGTAAGGAAAATTGGTAAATGACACAAAAAAAACAGTGTACTGCATTGTGTATATATATATATATATATATATATCGTATTTAACTCAAAATCACACCATATATAGGTCTAATCATTATAATAAAGATATAAAAAGGTGGAGAAAAATATTCAGTACATAACTGAAAGCAGAATCAAACTGAGATTAATACTTTGTAAAATAGACATTGTTTGCAACGACAGCCTCCAGTCACTTCCAAATTAAGTAGCCATTAGAATTGAACACTCTTCTGATGGTATTTTGAACCACTCTTCCTGGCAGATTATCAGTTTGCTTAAATTATTAGGCTGAATAAGCATAGACACAATTTCTTTTATTTGGATTAAGGTCATGGTACTGACTACACTACTTCAACAGGCTGATCTTCAAACCACTCTTTGGTTATGTTAGTGGTATTTTTAGAGTTGTTGTTCTGATAAAATACCTAATTGCATTTAATTTCTAAAGCCTTGAATAATGTAAGGAGTTTCTTTTTCAATATGTCTGAGTACATGACTCCATTCATTCTTTGTTTAATTATGTGAAGTTGTCATGTATCATGTGATGAAAAAAACAGTCCTATTTTATTCCATTCCCTTGCTGCTTCCATGTTTAACATTTGGGACAGTATTCTTTGGCTTGAATTCTTCTTTGAAATTTGATAATATAAATTTAGGCCAAATCACTATCTTGGTCTCATCGGACCAAAGAATATTATTCCAGCAGGTATCTAGCTTATATTCCTTAACAAATATCACATGTGATTTCTTCAGAAGCAGTACTTTTCATTCTCTACAAGATTGCAAGCCAGCTTGGTAGAGTGTGTTGTTGACAGCTTGAAATGTAACTGTTGTTCCTGATGTTATACCAACACTTTGGAGATTATTGTTGGCTGCTTCTATGGTTAAAAATGGCTTTGGCCATGTGAAGCAAGAAGGCCTTGGCAAAGACGATCCTTCTTTGAACATTGTAGACTGGTGCTACAGAATCACAAACCAAATAGCAGAAACAACATAATTTAAGGACTGCCAACAGTAGTAACAACTAAAATGGAGAGTACATGTAGCTAAAAGAGAAAATAATGACAAGTTGATATTCCACACTACTTCAAATAAAAGGTGAGGAAGGAAATCACCATTAATACTGGAAAGAGCAATAACAGCTCTGAACTCGAGAAACTTATTTTCTTCAAAATTTGTTTTAAGAGAAAGATTTTCTAAATTTCAACAAAAAGCAGTACTCAGTTAATGAGTGTCAAATGTTTCCTTATAGGGAAAAAGTTAATATTACCATTACCATTAATGTGACTGGCTGTCTTGCAACATTGCTGAAAATCTGTGGAGAAGTATGAGATCAAGGACAGTTCACTGTTAACTCATATTCTTTCCACTTGCGAACTATCAAATCAATGGTAGACAAATGAGGTTGTAACTCTTTACCCATAACTTTGTAATCTACAACTTTATAATAAAGACTAATTACAGTATATATGTTGTCTGTAGAATGTTCCTTGGTTTTCATTGTGATGACAGCATTCAACTGATACATTGTATCAAGAAAGTTTACCAGTTAGAACTTTCTAGAATAATTTACAGCTGTTTAGAATCAATCACCTAGAAATTTATATTCTTCAGTAGGTTATTCTGTTTATGAATGGGCATTGGATATGCAGATGACACAATGTTGACAACAGACAGAAAGGAAACAGTAGAAATTTCTATACACAGTCATAAAAGAAAGCTGGAAGAGAGGACTAGTCATCAAGAGAGAATGTCTGGTTTTCAGCAAACAAAACAGCTCAAAATGTGAGTTATGAATTGGAGATGTCAAAATCAAGCAAATACAAAAATTTAAATATCTGGGAATTGTTTTAACAGAGAATAGAAAATGTGACTCCAAAATCCAAACAAGAAATGCCTTCCAAAAGCTAAGCAAGGCATTAAGAAACAGCAAATTTTCATTAGAAATGAAGAAAAGAGTGCTGAACTGTTATGTAATATTAATCTTTATACATGGTAGTGAATACTGGACAATTTCCACATAGAATGAAGAGGAAACTTGAGGCAACAGAGGTGTAGTTCTACAGAGGGATGCTGAGAATGCCATGGACTGAATATTTGAGTAACAAGGAAGTTTTAAGGATAATGAAAACAAAACTTACACTTATACTTAGAGTCAGAAAGTAAAGGGAAACAGCAGGTGGCTTACCTAATGAGCTTGTCTATATGGATGGCAGAACAGGGAGTAGCAGGGATGGGGAAAAGACAAACCTTACTAAGAGTTTCAAGGGATAGAAAGTTGTGGAGAGCCATGATCGTCCACATGGCATGAAGAAGAATGAGCTAGTTTTTGATTTTACCTTTTCAATATATCTTTTATAATTTTATATAAATCTACTTGTTAAAACTTTTATTCATATATTAAAAATATCAAACTGATATATGGTGTAATTCTGAGGTAAATATGTACTTATATATAAATAATGGTATAAACTGGTTTTGTGGTATGTAATGAATACTTATTTTCCTAACTGTAACTATAACAAAAACACATGTATGTTATGTTGCATATTACTGAAGATAATAGATAATATTCTTCAAAAATGGAATGAATAAAGTTTCATTTGAATTGAGGAACATATTGTTTTCTCTTTATAGAAAAGTTATATCCTGCAGCTTTTTTCTAACACAGTAGATGGCTTATTTCTTGGCCCTATTCTGAAGAAAATGATCAAATATTCTCAATAATTCAAAGCTTATGATTTTCTTTCCATTTATGAATTGATGGATGTACATTTCAATAAATATCAATTAAAATGAAAATGTTCATAAAAGTGATGGGAATAATTACTAAAATTTGTAAATCTTTGGATAAAACATTGTAAAGATAATGAGATAAGAAACTAATAAAAATATAAATAAAAACCAAAACTGATTTCCAGCAAAAAAAATATTTTTAAGATACAGAAAATTATAGACATTGTCTAGTAAAACAGAATTGAAGCTGTTCTTATAGAATGTAACATATACTGAAAAGAGCTAAAACTGTATATATAGTCCCCTCCAAAAGTATTTGAACTGCAAAACCAATTTCTTTGTTTTTGTTGTTCACTGAAGACATTTGCATTTAAGATAAAAAAAAAATGAATATGAGACAAGAGTTCAGAATGTCAGTATTCATTTCCTGGTATTTCCATTTAGATGTGTTAAACAGCTTAGGAATAATCACCTTTTGTACCAGATCACCCCATTTTTAAGAGAGTAAAAGTAAAGGAACAGATAGTCTTAAATAAAATTTAATATTTGGTTGCATAACCCTTGTTGCAATAACTGCATCAAGCCTGCAACCCAATGACATCACCAAACTATTGCATTCTTCATTTCTGATGCTTATCCAGATTTTTAATGCAGACTCTTTCAGTTTTTGTTTGTTTTGGGGTGTTTCTTCCTTCAGTCTCCTCTTCAGGAGATGAAATGCATGCTCTATTGGGTTAAGATCTGGTGATTGTCTTGGCCAATCTAAAACCTGTCCACATTTTTCCCCCCTGATGAAGTCCTTTGTTCTGTTGTGTCATTGTCCTGCTGTATGATAAACTTCCACCTTATTAGTTCAGTTGCATTTCTCTGTAAATTGGCAGATAAAATGTTTCTATATACTTCTGAATTAATTCTGCTGCTACAAGAATGAGTTAAGTCATCAATAAATATGAATTAACCTGTTCCAGAAGCAGCCATACAAGCCCAAGCCAAGACACTGCCTCCACCATGCTTCACAGATGAACTTGTCTGCTTTGGATGATAAGCAGCTCCTTTCTTTCTCCACACTTTGGCCTTTCCATCATTTTGGTAGAGATTAATCTTGGTCTCATCAGTCCATAAAACTTTTTCCAGAACATGTACTTTCTTGCAAATTCCAATCTGGCCTTCTGATTCTTACTGCTGATGAATAGTTTTCAACTCTATATTTCTGCTCTCAAAGTCTTCACCCTTGCATTGTGGAGGTTGTTAGTGATGTTAATGACTGTTGGTTTACATTTTTTTCCTCACAGCTCTCTCAATGACTCTGTCATCAACTGCCATCGTTTTATTTGGCTAACCTGTTCTATGTCTGTTACTCAGTATACCAGTAGTTCCTTTCTTTTTCAGGACTTTCCATTTGTGTTGGCTAAGCCCAATGTTTGCCCAATGGCTCTGATCAATTTTTTCTTTCTTTTTTCAGTTTCCAAATGACAGCTCTCTCGTCTTGATGTCAGTTTATCCTTTTTATCAAGAAATGCAGTCTTTACTGGTGACACTCAAGACTAAAAC